TATTTCCATTTGGATTGTAATCAACTTAGGAGGGAGCAAACATGGGACAACTAGATGATTCAAGTACGGTCTTAATAAACAAAATGATCACGGTTTTCATTGATGTAACCCGAATTAAGACTGCTGGTCGCTGTCGCGTCAAACAAACACTTTGCAAACCAATTACCGAAAACCCAACTGCGTTGCGACATGCATCGTTTCCGGGGCTAGGTGATCAACTGAAGGTGAAAGTGTCTGTCAGCAACACCCATACGTTCGAATCTCTCAGGTCCACTTAATGTAGCTCACTGGCTCACAACCTAAATAGTCGAACCACTAATCCGGAAAAGTACTAAACAGCCAATTCGCCTTATTGAGGCTCGTCAGTGATGCGCATTCCCTCGACCCCTTCAGAGAACCGAACCCATCACCGCCACTGAATCATGGGCGGGTGGGTGCTGGCAACCCGCCATAACTTACATGCTAATTGAGACAGAGAACACAATCTATCTTCCAATGCCATGCAGATTTCTACCATTACAGAAGACAGTGACGACTGGCCTCCAGAAGTCAAGAGTTCTCGTACACAGCTATGCAGAACAGCGTTGGAGAAAGATTCAAAGTAGGATGCGGTCTCACTAGTCATTTCAACTAATGGAACTCATTCCGAGGTAAGCCGCAACGGGAATTGTAAGGGCGTGTCGAGCACTCAAAAATATTAACAATGAACAGCTATGAATTTTGAATCGATCAACGGTAAGCATCTACCATTCCGAGATCGCAAACGAGTGAATGTATGGTCTCTGGAAACATCCCGCAGCTGAACTCGATGGCAGGCATTGACCGAGATGATACCTTGCACACTGCGTCTTCACCAACTTTGTGGTATTCTCGGAGTTTGGATTTACAAATGAGATGCCCTAAGAATAGCATCAAAGGGAGAAATAAATGAGTAGGGCTGCAACGGCGCACAACGGGTTAGTGGTGTAGTGGCCTAAGCTCCGGATTTGTATCCCTTCTACATCTCAGATTCGAGTTCCCACCGTTGTCTACATTTGGCTTCTTAGCTTCAAGCCAAAGTAGGTACAGCCGCTTTCGACTGCATGGTCGTAATATACACATCAAAGATAATCAGCCATTGGTAATCCAGGCTCTCTCATGGTCTTAACGAATTGCCACATACATAATCAAACTCCGTATTGGAAATAGATCCGATAAAAAATCGGGAACCAAACATTATCATTAACTGTAGTACATCAGCCATTTGATTTGATGCTTCGCTGCCACACAGACATAATGAATTACGGAACAATAAGAGAGGAAGAAAGAAGGCGTGGTGTGAAATCTCAATGCCGGAAACCAACACTCAGGGTCAAAGCGCCTACATTTTGCCAACTACATAATGTCACAAACAGCTAGAAATCGTGTAAAGATAAGGCGACATCAGCAAGACAGCCCTCTTGCGGCCTTCCCCGCCCTGTGTCAAAATCAGCTACTACCTCACAGGTAGCTTAGCACCAAGCACACTTTAAACAAGTAGTCCGAGTACGGACGCGATACTAAGTGCCGAATGTGAGGCGGGTCACGTGAACACATGAACATGGAAGGCGAGACGAAAAAACAGAATCGAGTTTAGTTGCTAGTGCCTTCATTTTCCACTGCTAAGTTCAATTTTGCTCACGTCAAGCATTGAGCCACCCTACATCTCGTAGACGTCGGCAGGTAGCCGAGAGGATTGCATGTTTGGCTTGCAATCCTTAGGTCATCGGTTCGAATCCGCGTAGGAGCGGGCCTCCTCGCGTTATGCTCAGCCCACGCGTAACCGGTGGTGGTCATGTGACAGGGAAGCGTCGGTACGGTGCGCCGGCGTACTGCTGGTGACTGACTGATATTTGATTGACAAAATAAAGCTCTCCTCAGTAAGCGGTGACCGGGCATACATAGTATGTGCCAAAGCCTACGCAAGTTATTCAGTACCATCTGTGGTTTTGAGGAACTGGCCTGGTAATCCTTGCCTAACACTCGCCTACGCACATCATCATTGTCATTGGACACCAGCAATGCTCTGCAGACAGCGTAGGTTAAAGGCCTGAAGGCGCCCCAGAACATCAGAGACTAAGTCTCGCTCTTAAAGTGTAAGACGGCCCTCACTGTGGCCTTATAAACACGGCCTATCAGACCGAAGTAAACGCTCTTCTGACTCCCTAGATGTCGTAGTTTCAAGGCTGTTCTAACTTTCACAATAGGTGAACTGACTTCAGGGTTTATGTGCCCATCGTTGCTGACATGATAAGTGAATTGATCAACTATCTCGAGTTCCTCGCAAACAAATGATTCGTGGTCATTCAACAACATGACACTTTGAATGTGGGAAATGCACGGCAAATGATGGGGCTAGTTTAGAGAGTTTATCCAGGGTTGACTGGACTGCCCCAAAAGATCGCTAAATAATAGGACAATGTTACCCACACAATTAAAACCAATTGATTTTCACGGGGCGGCACCTAAACGCTTGTATGGTGAAATCCGTAAGGGATCACTTTATGATGGAGTCCACGACGAAGTTGAACAATAATGGGGAACTGGACAACCTAGATGAACATCACTCGTTGTCGGGAAGATATCTGATAGTTCACTGTAGACCATGACGCGGCCCGTGGTGTTCGAGTACAAGGCACGCAAAATGTTCACATATTTCCCAGGAACACCGTTCCGCGAACAGAATGGATCGTCCGACTGAGTTGAAGATAACGATTCGGTTTTACAGAAATGGACATATCCCATTTCAAACTCCAATCTGGAGGACTAGGAGATTGAGTAACACGAAGATAGCTAACAGGATAAGGACATTGGTTGAGGGACCGTGACTGGATTGATACCCATAGTTTGGGGCCGGAATCGTGACCAACATATTTGTTCTGAAAATGAAGCTAACAAAAACGCTTCCCTTTGGTTGGATTAGAAGAACATGACAAGGGATTTGGTTATTTCGGAGAAGCAAAATCAAGATCGCTTAGTCAAAAGTGTGTAGTTTCATAATTGCATGTTCGTTGTACTTTTTCGTTAGCATTTGTCTTGACGCATCATTTTATTGGCCTCATAGGTTGTTAATAACCGCTGCTTAATGTGGAGGATAATGGATACACTCTGGTGCTAACGTTATTTATGATATCATCATAAGTGACCGGTGCTCCATTTGATTGCTTCTCGTTGGATTTGTTCAGTCAGGTAGGTGGTTCCGTTGACGTGAATGGTTGTGGCAGGTGTACGTCCGTTGGCACTTTTACCATATAGGAATTGTTATTTCTCTGTGCAAAGGACCCAGTTGCTGTTCTGCTCGTTACTTTCGCTACTGCAGTGGATAGCGGAAGAAACAACAACGATAAGCTTGGCGGGGCAGTTAGATCGGCCGCTGCATTTTTTACCGCACATCATGTTTACATTATCTACTGTGTATACCTCAGTTCTGTGGCCCATGCTGAGGCTGATGTTGCATTCATGATACCTCTTCACCGCAGTTGGGCTAAACCAACTTACACTTAAACTAGGTCTTTTTAATGTGGATAAAATTCATTACATTTTATTCGGTTTGTTCTGCGTACTTGATAATCTTCGCCCAACTTGCACACGTCGCCCATGCAAATTATGGTAAACGTGCGTAATTTTAGCGCGTGGTATTTTTAAATAACTTTCGAACATTTGGTACTTATCGCGTATTCACCTTCAACCAATTTCTTCCATATGCTCGTTTAGCGAGTATTTATGTTGTCATATGCGTTCAATTTATTCGATAGCGGCATTTCGAATAATTGGCTGTTGTTTGTCATCCCCGGTGTGGCTGCGCTTGATGTGCATGTTGACAAGGTGCCTACCTGTCTATTACCCACTACCTCGTTCATCTGGATCCAGGAGACAGTTGGTAGTTGCTGGAGGGGACAGGGTGCACGGTCATTGTGGTCGTGCTAGGCTCGAAGAGTGGTTCCATGCACTCAGTGTGGAGCGGACTACGGTCCAGCCACCGACTTGCGTGCGATTGATTCCCCAAATACAGCGTGCTTGTGAAGGCGTGCGGGCCGGCTCCGTTGATGAAACGTCGCACCCATCCGCATGCCTCCCGGTCTTATTCCTTCGGGTTTACACTGGATATAGGGTGTGTGGATGGAGCGGTGTGTGGTGCAGCGCAAGCCATCTGTAGGCGCAGGCGTCCTGTGGCTGGCCACAGTGATAGGCAAATCTGAAACCGGATGCCGCCAAGTATACCTCAATTTTGCACGAGTGACTGGGGCGCTTCACTCCATTCAACTTTGAACGTGTACGCGAGATACCGCGCACAATGCGTGATCTATTATGTTTGGACACAAAATTCTACGTCAATTGAAACGATTTTTGAACAAGCATTTCTATGAAACCTTTTTCGTTTTGGATAGATGCAAATCCCGAAGCTTTAGTCCAGCATTTTGGGATCGTTGCTCGATCGATCAAGGACAGTGAATCCCCAATTTTCTACACATTGTAAACTTTGTATCTTTAATAATACCCCACTAGCAAATTTACAGTTGAGAATGTAAATGCTGAAAATGCACCCTTTTGGGCACACAGCGCTTAGACTGACTTGACTTGAGTGTGGGATCAACGCGAAGCATCGGCGGACATTGACGACGACTACATGTGTAGTGGCCGCGGCACCGAACAGGATAAGGTCCCCAGTTAAAAGCGTGTGCGAAAAGTGAAATTCAAACTAGCAAAGTGCTTGGCAAAAGGCGCGAAGGAGACGGAAAACAATCTTGAAATTGCACCAAGGCTGATAAAACAAGTGTATCCGTGTAACGAACAGAGGGGAACTTAATGCGGAAAAGGCGCGAGCAAAAAAAACGAACAATTGATGAATGGATGGGTGAATAGATGAAGGAGCGAATGTGGTATCTGTTGTTCAATCAACCGGTGTGGGTGTGCGTATGCGAGCAGACAGTGCGGATGCGTATGCGTTGTAGCCGGAAAGTGCAGTGAGACAGTGTGACTGAATGCCTCGCTGACTCAAGCTTCGGGCAGAGAACGATCCATTTCGGAGCGTATTTTATCCTTCCACAAACTAAAAATAGAAAATGTGCATATAAAACGTGTATCAGCAGTTTCAGAATATATATATATATATATGTCCAAAAGGTGTTACGGGAGATTAGAATGCAAGGGAAGACGATTCGAAAGCAAAGACCAAATACCAGACATTGGGTAGATGAAGAACCAGGCACTAAACCATTTCCCGGCCAAGTTGTCCTCTTGGGCAACAGAAATAATCTGAGGGAGCAGTCAACATGAGTCTACTCAATTAATTTGTTCCGTGCGTACGCCAGTCACTTGTGCAGGTGTGCGTGTATAGCCCGTCGCCTTCAGCCAATTGGACCTCAGACGCACTAAGTCATAGGGGTGCAGGTGGGACACTTCAGCTCCTACGCACGGAACAAAGTAATTGAATAGACTCATGTTGAATGCCCCTCAGATTATTTCTGTTGCCCAAGAGGACAACTCGGCCGGGAAATGGTGTAGATGTTCATGAATCCGAATACGCGTCTGATCACCCTCAAACAGTGATACTCGGCCTGATCCGTGAGTTCAGGTACGTCGGACGTACGGCCAAGCAATTAGGTGCAAGTGTTAAGGAGCATCTCCCTAGATGGATAGATAATTAAGTCAACAGAACCAGTTGCACAGGGACCGTATCCGAAATGGAGGTGATTCGGTGTTACTCATCCCAACACGGACACCCCAAGACCGACGGTTTGACCCTGGTTTGGACTCAGTTTCAGTTCCATAGCGTACCATCACACATCAAATTAGCAGTAGCACGGTTAGGAAAATAAGTACGAATTGCCTTTGCAGCAGAGGAAACAGTGTAGAGCGCGATTGCTTGTTGCCGTGGTAAGCATAAGGGTCACAAGAGTCCACACTTGTGGCCGAAGAGAAACGTTACAATCCATACAGCTGCCATGGTGGATCACATTTCAAAGCACTACATGGCAACTGTCATGCAATTTCCAGACTTACAAGTTAAACCATCTATCCGTTAAATCTCTTGTACCCTAAAATGAACTGGGTCCTCTACTATGAAAGTCTGGTGGGGTATGAAGGGAAGCAAATCGTTTGCTATGAGATTAGCGCTTACGTGACTACGTGAAGCATAGAAAACCTGCGATGTTGCAGCACAAATACAGGTGAAGAGAGTGGCAGTGGTGCTGTCGCTAGATACGGACAGTCAGAGGACAGTAGAGTAGAGCGGAATTCAACCAATACAGCTCACACGGGGATATTGCCGATGAAAAGGCTGTTACGTGAGCACGATGATAGTAAATATCGTCTTTGAAATACCACATAGTGAATTATATATTACCTAGTCTACACATTAAGGGCAAACTCAATACCATTTTGAAAGGATTACGAATCATACAAAAAGACATGAAAAGTCAACACGTTTGCACAATGCTCAAAACCAACAGGATACAATACTTTGTGGCAAGATCACGCCTAATCTAAGGAGTCAGGGGCCTCTCTTCGACTTCCAGTGCTCTGGTACTCGATTTCGCCATAAGGAAAGATATAGCAGCAATGATCGGGTTAAAATGGGATATACTAAGGACGAGAAAACCAGGAAACCGCTGGTGACGGTTACGCGGTGCGTTTGGTAGAGTATGAAATTACGAGTCCAAGATCAATGTTATAGAGCTCAAGCGTCTACGCGGACGAGTGGCCTCCTCACCGAACTTCCACCAGTCTACGTTGATTATGGAAAAGCAAATCATAGCCCGTAGATGGAAAGGCATTAGTATTAAGCGCCCGGGTAAGCAGCATAAAATGCAAAATTTGATACATTTTGAGGCAATTTATGGTCATTAATCAGATTTATCGCTTGACGTGAAAAAGGCAAGTTTGATAGTTGTGACACATGGGATTAACGGTAACACTAGTTCTCGAGCGGGTAGAATTGGCGAATGTGAAACAGTAAAGAACCTATGTGTCCCCCCCCCTCCCGGCAGCCTCTGAGACTGTGGACAGAAATCAAGCTTCCGTCACGAAAGAGTTAAGGTTTGTACACATATTCTCTAAAATTTGGAAAACTGAGTACGCCAAGGAAGGGTCATCGTCACCACCACCAACTACAACAACAATAGCAGTAGAGCAGTAACTTAAGCTGATGCTTCGTTGCCCTAAAAACCAGAAAAACATAGGGGATAATGAGTGATAAGAGGGAAGAAGAGGACCTAAGCGCTGAAGGCACACACCCATGATCAAGACGCCTACACCTTGTCAACAGCACACGGTCACATGCGGCTGCTTATCATGTGAGCATAATGTGGCATCAGATACAATTTAAACGAGCAATCCAACTATGATGTCAGAAACGTGCCACTGATGCCGACTGGGAACCACGTCGTATGAAGCCTCGGGCCAAGCGTAAGGCTGATTGCGTGAACACCAGTCTGGAAGGTGAAACGGATCAATAACAGTCACCGCGATAATCAATGATTTCGTTTTCCGCTGCTCACCTCCAGCATTACGTCACCATGTGTGCGCAAACCAGTAAAGCTCCCTCGATAAGCGGTGACCCAGCCCAAGAAAGGGTCACATGGAGACTAACGGTACCAAGTTTCTAAAGTCAAACGCAACTTGGCTCATTCTTAGCCGGAGCGCGGTGTGCGAAAATATCGGGTGCATATGAGCATAGAGGACAATGGAACAATCTGTGGTCCGATCTTGTGGAACCTAATCTAATGAACAATGATTTATTATGGGTCAAGATGCACCCAATCTGTATGTGTCACTGGGCGGTCCGGTGTGAGTTAATAGAAGCGCAGCACAACAAAACACGCTGTTCAATCTAAAGTTAAACTTTAAAGTACCCACCGTATATCTGGATTGAGACACGCAGTCTCTATGAAGACCTCAGTCATTCTGACCACCAGTATCATATGGTGGCGTGTCGATGTTGTACGTTTACAACCGACCGACGGTTTCGGCCTCGTTTGGACTCATCAGGTAGAGATAAATAAATAAATACATGCTGTATTGTCGACAACGTGAGACAGTAACGCACAGACATGAGCATGGCGATGCAAACTTTGAACACATATAAGCGCAAATATCGATAAAAGTTTATCAATTTATATGAATCAATATGATAAGTGTAGATGAATTATTAGACGTATGCATGTGTATGGCTGTGTTGCTTGAATTAGTGAAAGTTATGCCGTATTTGTGATTGTTTTTGATTGGTTCGTCAGCGTCAGAAGGGGTGAATGGAAATCTTCGTAATGGATGAGTGGTGTCCGTAGATTGGAAAATGTCATCCGGATACGTAAGAGGCAGTTACTTTAGTTAGTGGTCAGGCCCATTCGCCACGTCGCAATGTTGTTAAAGAGACATTTTTGGTTTTTAGAGGGAACGCTTGCCAGCCGGAAATCCACTACGTCCTGGAACACTGCCGTGTTCCGCCTACCTTACCAGGTACAATTTCACTTCTGCCGGCTAAATCAGCAAACCGTCCTAATTCGAATCTTCTAGACTAATTAGCGAGTGGAAAAATAACAGTAAAGAGTTTGCCCGTTCCGACTAGGACAGTCGAACAGAACTAAGACTTTTTAACACAAAGTAAATCTGCATCTTGTAGTAACGTTTTTCGATAACCCACCAGACCACCCGACGGGATTTGTAAAGCAGTGTTTCTTTATTTATGTTAAGCTTTTGTTCTTTGGACTCTAAAGAATGCGGCGAACACACTGCGCCTGTAGTGTGCTCCAACCGTTCAGTGCAATCAGTGATCACATATCCCTATTGCAAGGATTGTCTCATTCCTAACTTTTACTCTTATGTTCTTTACGGCAGAAAATGAATAAGTAACGTTGTTGAGTATGCGTAAACAAAGCCCTTCTGGAGTTGATGACATTTACCTGAAATTACTTGCCGTCGTATGAGAGAGCTTAACTGAGCTGTGTGTTGATTCTTTCAACACTATTTTGACGAAATGTACATGCCTGACATGTGGAAAGCTCGGAGGAGTACTCTTTTTCATAAGGGAGGCATTCGCCGTGATACAGACCACTCCCGTCCCGTAATCTGATTACCCGTACTTTTGAAAGTAATGAAAGCCATTATTGCATAAGCATTAACGACTTACCTGGAAGAAGTTACCTACCTTGCACCAGACCAGCGCATGGCTTCCGACGCAATCAATCTTGCACTAAAAACTACTGCTAGCACGATCCAGCCGGATGAAGCAATAAACACTGGTAAAGGGGTAATTATAGTTTTTCCATAGTTTTCAGTGGCATACGACTAGTTAAAATAGGACTTTCGGCTCTCCAAACTCAAGTAACTTGCTAGTGATTATCTTCTCCTAGGGTGGAACAGAAACTTCCTCCTACACCGGCACTTAGAGGTAAGAGTGCGTGATTCTATAGCATATTCCATCACAGTTGAGTACGGAGTACCACAGAGATCGGTGTTGGCACCACTTAACTCGCCCCGGTGTCACAAATGTATCTACCGGGCACTCCCCAAGTCAACAGTCTGCCTCCTGAGCTGTGTTAATGCCAATGCCTTAGCTACCGAGTCCTCTCAACATCTGTGGTGAATTCAACATCTCAACAGCATCGACCTCACTCCATCTCTGCCAGCGGCTGGGGCCATATCATAGCAACACTTGTGACAACACACACACGCCTTCGCTTATAGTTTATACAATAACTACTGTTTTAGTGAACTATAAATATGAAGAAAGCTAGGTTGCCTTGCTTGAGTCAGTGGGAGCATCCTTACCGTTGACTAGTCTTTTTCTGTGGGTCTCACTAAAGTAATGCAGCGTTTAAATAAATACATGTTTCGTTGTCGATAACGCGAGATACTCCTGCATAGCCATGATTATGGTGATGCAAACTTGGAAGACAGGTAAGCGTAAATATCGGTAAAAGCTTATCAGTAGCATACGAATCAATATGATAGGTGTAGATGAATTATTGTACGTATGTATGTGTATGGCTGTGTTGCTTGAACCGGTGAAAGTTACGCCGTATTTGTGATTGTTTTTGGTCGGATCGTCAG